GAAGTTGGGGATTTACCAAGGCTGAGGGTTTCCTGAAACTTACCTGGATGTTAACCATGAACTGAAGGTAAGGCATTGTGGAGGGGTTAGAAACCAAAGGCAATTCTGTAGGAAGAATGGGCGAGAGGCCGCTAGTGTTAGACTTTATATATCTGCTCTATCGGAAGCCCGGTGCACGCCGACGAGCTCATGAAAGCCCCGGGCATGCCGGCGAGGTCATACTCGTCCTCGTCATCGTTCATGATTGAACGCCGTTGCTGGCCGAGTGTTGGCTTGACCATTGTGTTTGTTCAAAATGTGACTACTGTAAGCCATTTTCAACAATGAAACTTGAGGAATATCTAGCATGTACATGCGATTTTAGTAAACGTTGGTCAGAAATTCTTCAACTCATGTTGAGGGATTAACTATTTTAACTATTTTTTCCAAGCATATAGCGGGCGGATGTCCGAATAATCTGGCTGCTCATCCTTTCCGTCCAAGAATCCGTAGTAAAATGTCGTGTCTAGCTGAAGTTTAGTGGATTGTTGGGTCTAAGTGTAATATAGACTAACCTCGGCCGTCCTTCTCACGTCGAGTAAATCCATTTCCGAGATACCCGAACCGATTTCCGGCGTAGCCATACTCGTAATCCCAATCCTCCCATCGCAGGTTCCCAAGTAGTTCAATGAAGAGGATTCGGTTGCCCGGGAACAACATCGGGGCATCTTGACGCCATAGGATTAACAAAAACCGTGTGCATATGTTTAAACCGTACCATTCGGTCCGGTCTTGGGTTTGAACCACGAGGAACAAGTTCCAACCCATGCCGTCCGCTTCAAAAAGAGCTCCCGGTGTTCGTTAAAGTCGTCGGCCGCCTTGCAAATAGGGAACAGCTTAAGATCGAGTCATAAAACGAGGAAATGAAACTCACTTTGTCCTTGACTTTTATCGACTTGATATTCTCCATCTGCATTTTCTTGATGATTTTCATGAATGCCGAGGTGTCTACAATCTATCAGAACGCGAACGGACGGTAATGATTTAACGTGCAGGCGTCGATTATGGGAGTGCAAGATCCATGCGCAATGGGACCTAGTCTTTTGTGAACAGGCGCTACGGCGAGAAGAAAGAAATGGCACCATGCGGGCCGAAATACGTGAAGTACTTGTTCAATGGAATTAGTCAAACTACAAGGCCTACTAATGAACACACTCACGTTCGGAAAGTTTTTCACCGCGATAGAAAGATACTTGGGGCAGGAAATGGTTAGAAAGCCGACCCCGTTGGAGTTGAGAGACGCACAGAATCAACGGAATAGTCCTTCCAGACATCTTGAAGATTCTTGCCATGTGCAACAACCGGAAACCGTGGTACATAACTCGTATCGAAGCCGCTAGGGATGGATTTCAGTTGGAGATGTCTCGTTTTTGACGTTGCATACGTTGCACAGACTACGACATCCACTTCCTGTTCTTTTCCCTCGGCGTCGATGAAACCCTTCTCGGTAATACGCTGGAACATTTCGGTGTAGACCTGGACATTGGGCTCCAGCAACGCCTCAAGGTAGCCATTGTTTGGTGTGGGTCGCCGACACCCGACAGCGAAATCCTTGGGGACCATTGCGTCGATTAGCCGTTGATTACCTGGATCACGTATAAAGACTCAGAAGGGAATCTTTGGTGCTGTTCCATACCTCGGAGTCGATCCCGCATCTCTTTATTGGCGAACTAATCAAGTGATATTAGACAGTAGGCTAGATATATGGAGTATGTACCTCGAGGGAAGCCTTCTGTTCTGGCGAGCCTTGGATGATGAACTTGAAGCGTTGGTTCAATTCAGCCTGGTGTGGTTATGGCTCCCAAAATATCCCAAAATTAAACCCCGGCGAACCTCTATCATCTTTCGGTACTTCAGTGCATGTTTCGGATCCTCGCTAAATTTCTTTTTCTGCTCTTCCGAGTCTTGAAGAACATCAGTAAACAAATTATCAAGTACACAATAACGCTTACATTGAAAATTGTTGCCTCCAGGACCAGCAAATAGCGGTACAAAAGGTGGGGTAATCCATATGGGAGACCTGATCCAGTGGTAGAGTTGTTTAACTTCGCTTTGAATAGCTGACACCACTTGGATCCCGGAAGAACCAGCCCCGATTACAGCTACCCGTTTGTCTTTCAAGGAGAGATTCTCCGGCCAACGGGCAGTGTGGCAGAGGTCGCCCTTGAAAGAGTGAAGTCCTTCGATAGAAGGCCATTTCCATGTATTTAGGACTCCTTGGGGTGAATCGGTTTGGGACAATACAGCAGACAATTGCATACAAACCTCCGCCATTGAGGAAGACGTCGCAGTCGTCCTCAAACTCTTTGCCATCGGAGCCCCGGACATGAAGGCGCCATTTCTTGGCGTCATCGTCCCATTCGGCTTTAATCACTTCATGTTCGAGGTGTATATATCCCCACAAGTTGAATCTGCAGCCGAACGATGTTGAACATTTGGAGGGCGACGGAATTATGAATTTACTTGTCAACGAGACTTCGATAATACTTTTGGAATTCTGGGCCCTGCGAATAGAATTCAGACCAGTCGAATTTCGGGCTCCAATGCATCTGATAGTTGACAGAGGGTATGTCGCACCGAACCCCGGGGTCTGAGACAGTCACCGGTGAGCCACTTCTACTTATCAAATACTAGGAAACGGTATGCATACGAACATTTATTCCAAAACCATGTCCCGCCCACATCTTTGGCCATTTCGTAGATCGTGAGTTGTATATTTTCACCATCTTTCTGGACTTCGTGTGCAAGACTGATCCCGGAGATTCCTGCACCTATCGCAATGACTTTGATAGACCGCAGCTAAGGTGGAACCGTTGGTGTTTTATAGACGAAAGAGCGAAGACCTTACCGTTCCATACTCCAGGTCGGGAATTCTGTATCCTCTTTCGTTCTCTGACGGCCAAAGGGCAGATTTCTCTTTCATTCCGCCAGCAACGACGAAGACAGGAGGGTGGAGCAGCGGCCATGAGGTTCCCGAGAAGGTGGGATTAGGTCGCGGCAGAAGGGCGGCTGAGCGCGACGGCTCGCCGCAGGAAAGGTCCGGATGCACGGGCCGGCGCCGATTCAGACCTTCTTCTTCCTTCCCACCACAATGAAGTCAGAATGTGTTGACGGACTGCACACGAACTACATTCCATCCGACGACGAGATCGAGCGGATACAGAAGGATATCGCCCTCCAAACCAGAGAGTTTGACCGCCTCGACAAACTGATTCAAGATCTCTGCGTTAAACGCGACAAAATCGGGGCCTACCTGGACTCTCACAAGGCGCTCATCTCTATCTCGCGCCGTCTCCCGCGGGATATATTGCAGGAGATATTCCTCGCGTGTCTCCCGACCGACAGGAATGCTGTTATGAGCCAGACAGAAGCCCCACTCTTGCTCTGTCGGATATGCAGCGCCTGGCGTAACATCGCGCAGGCTACACCGCAACTCTGGGCGTCCGTGCATATACCCTTCCATTATGTTCTGGCAGATAAGCGACGCATGCATGCTCTCGCCGACTGGCTGCAGCGCTCCGCCGAGTGTCCGCTCTCATTGTCGCTTGTGGGAGATGTGTGGGATCACGGTTGGGGCCAATCAAATATCTCTCTCAGCTCCGATGGTGTGGCCGAAATCTCCGAGCTCTTAATTGGAACTGTGGCGCTGCGTGGAGTTGGGGAGCTTCGACTCGTCGACACTAGAGCAGTTCGTAGAAGTGCCTGCACCGATGTTGGAACTGCTCAAGCTAGCTGGCGACCTGAGGGGGCTGGTCGATCTTACCGGGGCTCAGATCTGGGATGAGCCCAAGAAGATTGCCCTGGTGCAGGGCGAGCACCTCCGCGAGGTTCACTTGTGCTCATTGCACCCAATGACATTTAAGCCAGATAGGGACTGGGACGAGCTGACACATCTCTCGATCTCCTTCCCAAGCGATACACCTCATCTGCCGAACATGCTACACCCTCTCGCCCTTCTGAAAAGGACACCCCGACTCGTTTCGTTCGAGTTCGGACCGAATATCATGATGTTTGGGAGCATTTCCGAAGTGCTTGTGTTGCCTTTCCTCCAGAGGTTCGTGATACTGGAGCCTTGCCATCTGGACCCAGATTCTCTGCAGACTATTTTCGAGAATATTTGGATGCCTGAGTTGCGGCACGTCGTCCTCCCTCAGTATGCCGACTTCCCGGGTGCCGTTCGCCATCTCAGCAGAAAATCACCGCTGATCGAGCACCTTTGTTGCTCCCTACCGTCATTCATGGTCATTTTCAACGACGGCTTGGCTACCTCCTTTCTTAAACGAGTCGAGCTTTGCGATTCAAACCCGCGTCCCCACTTGGACGAGCTCCTGGACTGTCTCGCTCCTGCGCCCGGACTTCGCCCTCTCAGCTGCCCTGCGCTCACAGAACTTGTTGTGAAGAACTGCTACTCCTTATCCCCCGATACTCTGCAGGCGTTCTTACAACGGCAGGTCGAACTCGGAACGCCGCTTCGCCGTCTCAGCATCTGGTTTCTTGGTGATCCTGAGGTTAGTTATGAGGATTGTGCTGGGCCATTTAGGGTGCATGGGCTTGACATATCGTTTAATATTTCTCCGACACCGTGGGGGCCGATCCGGAAATTAGTACCAAGTCCGTGGATCGGGCTCGGTTCACCCGTAGCGGTGTCCGCGCCATTCAGCTGGGACTGATTTGGCACAACTTCTCCTTTAGGGCCGACGAGGTATTTAAGTATTGCTTGAGATCGTATTCTCGTATCTTAGATCTCGGTTGTTTTACATCCCCGGGTGTATTTCGGTGTACTTTTTTTGGTACTTTTCATAGATTACCATTTTGGATCGTTGGAGGAGTTTGGGACCAAAGGCGTTGACGGGATCTCCAAATAGGCTGCATCGCCACTCCCTCCTCAAGGTGTCTTGCGTCGAGTCCAGTGCGATAAATGTGTATACATAATGATTGGGCTTGTGGACCTAATACTCATATCCCTCTTAGCTCAGTTGGTAGAGCGCGTCACTAGTACATTTGTCACGAAATGACGAGGTCAGTCGTTCAAATCGGCTAGCGGGAATGTGTATGTAGTATTTTCTCTTTTTCTTTGGATTTTCTCACACCGCCATTTTTTTGTCTTTCTTATCCTACTCTCCTCACAAGGGCCTCTATCGCTCTTGGAGCCAAGACATCATGATTACTTCAAACTGGATTTTAAACTTCCTCCATAAAGTCATCACCACCTACTTGATATCGATCTTGTTGCCTACGCTGCATTCGTAACTTGGCGGTAGTACTGGCAAAGTTCGGCTCGGAAATCGGTCCGAACCTGGGCCGATATTTTTTGTTTTGCGGTTCATCATGTGTTTGAAATGTCTGTGCCGAAAGAACTCGTGAATTCCAAGCGGACAATGCCCAAGGGAAATTCAACCACAGGTTGAAAGCCGCTATTTCATCCTACAATGTCCTGTCTTGGATTTATATATTGGGTTAGAATGAACCAAGACATTGAGCGTCAGGTGCTCTACCGGCTAACTTGAGGCTTTCTTGTGCCCATTCAATGAGGCTTTCGTGTAGACGTCGAACAAAACCTTGCGGTGGGCAACGGGGAAACGGGAAGTTCCGATGATCCGACACGAAAGAATTCAACCTCGTATCGAAAAACGTTGGGTTTTGAGGATGCAAACCGTTCAAGTTCTCGCGAACCCCTCCCGCGGCTGTCATCCTTCGAGCGTCCGATGCGAGGACGAATTGGACTACAGGCTTTTATGCGCTCTGAGTCTTTCCTTCCCTAGAAGCCTGAGACTTTCAGTCGAGTTGGATTTTGCATGGGTTTTAGAAAAAAATCGAACCCACATGTTGGAAAAATGTAGAAAGGCCGTTCGAACACCTTTTCGTATTTTCATCCGTACGGCATGGCGGTCGGGGACGAGTAACACCGGGAGCGGTTGAGTAGGATGCCGTACGTGTCGTTGTAGGGTGTCGCAGGTCTGCGTTAATTGTCTCGTGCATTCAAGTTGTATTGTCGTAGGCTCGCGTCACCATTCGTTCGTTCCAACATGATTTCAAAATGGTCCCCGGCCGGCGTATGTACTCCTGTAGAGCATCACAGTGCTGGCACCAGCCATTTCGTTTATCGTTATCGTTGGGCGTTTCATTTCGATTGCGGGCGGACTCGGACCCGGGGGAAGAACCGGCCGTTGCGTTCTTTCTTTTCTCCGAGTTTTGGTTTTTGCATCCATCCACCCATCCATCGGTCGGCGGGGACGCGCGTCGGACCCAGATGCTTGGTGCTTGGTTCGGTGAAGTTCTTTCTGGGTGGGCTCGGCGCCCGAGTGCCGGCATTCCTTGAGCTTATTAACGTTTTTGCATTGCCAACGTCCCCTTGGGCTTTCGGGTGGGTCTGCACTTGGCCATGCGACGGCATGATAAGCCGTGATAAATACCATAAATACCTCCTTGGCGGAAACCGTTGAGAGTCCAGAGTCCAGAGTCAAGTTGTGGGACGGCTGTACAGGCAGGCGGGCAGGCACGTTTTTCGGCTGGCTGGCTTGAGCGTTGGTTTGCTGGTATGTAAGCATGTGGAACGATCCGAGTATTACTTTGGGAAGAGGAGCTCGGCGTTTTGAGGTATATGGGTGGGTGGGTCCACATCGAAGCGGTAAGTTGTAACGAGACACGCCGGGTTAAAATTTTGTTTGAGAGCATTCGAACCCAAATACCGCCAGCCTTTTCCTGGGCAAAAGTCCATTTATTTCGAAGTCGGGGTCGGGGGAAGGGAGGAACGTTTGCAAGTGTGTGTGGTTTTTTTTTTATAGGGTTGAACCACAACTTGATTTTGGTTGAATTTGTCGGACTTTGAAGGTTGGACTCGGGCCGCGGCGAACGTACGTACAGTCCTTCCTTGAGCTTCTTGAACTTCCCGGCTTGCTGTCAGTGCCTGCCTCCCTGAGAGACTTGGTTGAAGGTATGTCACCGGCGACCAAGCCCAAGCCAGTGAGCACGTCATAGATAGATAGAGATAGAGATAGCGGGGAAACCTTTCGTTGACCAATGACGGAGTAATAGGATACCTGTCAAAGTTCCAGAAATAAAATTGAAATCCAGATTCAGAGTCGGGGCACGGTCTCGACGAGAACTGCGCACCCGAGTCCAGAGTCGAATCTGGGCCCGAGCGCGCGTGTAGGCTATTTCAAAGTTGCACCGGTTACGGATGTTGTTTTGCGAGGATGAGGAAAGACGTCGCGGTGCCGGCCGCGGTGGAGAGCACGTTCGAGGCTCGTCGCTCGAGCCTGAGGTGGGTGTCGACCAATTGCAACTTGACGGCGTGATTGCAACTTGGTGTGTGAGAGAGAATTCGAACGCTCCTCCGAGTTGACCTCAGTGTCGTGCACCACCATCCAATGCTATCCAATGTCCATCCCGATCAACCTCTATCTCGCCAATAACACCCGGTCAGATAGGATACCGTATGCCACAAAAAAAAAAAAAAAAGATCCAACGAACGTCAAAAATTCGGATGATCAGAGAGATCTACCGGCATTTAACCACAACTTCCTTCGAAGTGGATTTGATTCCGCTTCGATTTTTGGCTTCGATCCCGGGTTTTGGGTATCGTACCTCCGTGTACTGTGCTGTAAGTAAGTTACATACATACATACATACATATATAGAGCCAGGCAGGTTGGCCCCGGCGTGGTTATCATTTGCATCTTGCATCTGCATCGGGGACCGGGGTTGATTGTCGTGAACATACGTATACGTATACGCCACGGTGGCGGGGGTACATCGGTACATCGGTGCATAGCAAGGAAGGGAAGAGGGCGCACGTTCGAGGAGGGTCGGCGGGAAGCCCAATGATCATGAAGGAATCGATGAAGGGTGGTGGAGAGCAGACTCACAGGAGTCGACACGGACACTGGCAGCGTGGAATTTTCGCGAAAACGCACGGGCAGGCACGGTTGCGTTCGAAAAATCGAAAAATAAAAAAATCGAAAGGGGGATGTTGAATGGTGAGTACGTACGTAGAAAGATAGGTTGTTAGCCTGAGCCGGCGAACAGAACATCCGAAGTTGAGCACTCGGGTTGGCAGCCAGCTATCGATTATCAGCCGCCGATCATCTCAACCTTGTCTTCTGCCAAATTCCAATCCTCTGCCAATCGATTCGCGCAGCAAAGGGTCAGCAGGCCTGTCCAGATTGAAAGTGAAAGCGCGGCGTTGGCTAGGTAAGGAGAATTTCCCTCTTGGGCCGCGTTGGTTGGTTCGAATGTGATTCCCTTTCGCTAGGCGTTGGATTTTTTTGGGTGAGGTTCAGCTCAAGGATGTACACGCCATCGCGGGCCTTTCTCGGCCTCGACTTGAGCTTCGAGCCGCGCCCGGGCCGGGACGTTGGAAGGGGAGTTGGCAGTCAAGTCGGAATATGGAAACACGGGAGACGGAAAGAGGAAGGAGAGAAGGAAGGAAGGAAGATGCCAGAGCCGTCGATCACTGGCAGTACTTATCAGCGCTGATCATCTCGACTTGTCCTCTGCCAATCCTCTGCCAATCGACCTCTCCAGAGACAGCCATGGCAATGGCCAGGTAAGGAGAATGAATTCCCCTCTTGGGTCCGGAGTGTTGCGAATGTGATTTCGTTCCGAGAGGACGGAAGGATGGCGGCGCTGCGGTTCAACGAGCTTCAACCCTAGGTGATGGGCTTGTGGGTGTGGGTGTGGGTGTGGGTGGGGTGAGGTGTGTGTGGGCGCGTAAAGGTACAGCCAGCAGCGCGCCGGGACGCCAAGGACAACTCGGTCGGAGGCAATTGCGTGGAAGTATGTATAAGTAGAGTATACGGCGAGGGTTTGACAATTGAGCAACCTTGAACTTGAATTTGGCTCGAGACCTCCGCACCGTGACTAGTTATGTAAGAACCACTGTGGAACGCGTCCACCTCGATTTTTTTTTTTTGAGGGCGGGCGCGTCGTGTCGTGTCGGAGATCTTCGCGTATTTTCAAATTACATGTTTGATGGGTCTTTGGGTCTTTTGTTTTGGAGAGCACTGGGCGAGGTTTTGAAGTCTGGGCGCGGGGACAGGGGATACGTGTATGTAGTCCAGGAGGACCGACGTTGATCGTTGATAATCTCGGCCCTCTGATAACGATTCCTCGGAATCCATCATCATTCGGATTTGGTTCCGCTCTGGCCTCCACTCTGGCCTCCGTCGCGGTGTTGGGCTCGCCGGTTTCCGCCGTCCGGTTTTGTACAACGCCGTGGAGATTTACTTACGGCGTCTGTGTTTCTGCGAAGTCAACGAGAGCGATAAGGAGGCTGGCCGCGGCGAAAGGACTAGTGAAGCTGAGGTGGAAAACGTGGGTGGGGTTTGTCGTCGGGGAGGAGCGGTGAGCAAGAGATGCAGGGGCGTCGTATGCCGCGGGTGATGACGATGAGTCGGGTATCCGGTTGGAGGTCGTCGCGTGGCTCGCAGCAGCTCCAAGGAAAGATGTGAAGGCGCAGTGCTGACGGCAGAAGTGGGTAGTACGCGTCGGGGTACGCGTTGGCCGGCGTTGAGTAGTTGACGCGTGCGTCGACCGGCGGAACAGGACTCGGCCCCGGCGTTCAAACGCAAAAGCGTCCAATCACGCAAGCCAAGACATTGGAGGACGGGCCTCCCACGGCTGGAACGTGCAGGGGATGTCGGTTGCTAACGCGGCGGCGGTGGGCTCGGGAGATGCCGCGCTTCGTCCAAGGGTATTCGGGTGAACCAGTTTAGAAGGACTACTACTGGAAGGGTATTGAAGATAACAGAAATAAATAAAATGAAAACAAGACACAAGATATGAATGAAACCCTGCCAAGCGCATACAATTAATGTATTGAAGTGATTCTGACTGAAACCACCACGATCATGGCTACGCTGGCCCCCATCCTCCAGCTCCCCAGCCAGCCCTCCACAAACAGTCTCTCGTCCGCGTCCTCCAGTGCCAGCGGGGGCAGCAGTCGCGCCAGCAGCAGCGCGAGCTCCCATACCAGCACCGACGCCAGTCACAACTCGACCCCCACTATGATCCAGCAGAAACCAGCCGGACGCGTCCGCAGCATCC